AAAGATCTAATATATATCCCTAACCAATTAACGAGAAAATACTTATATTAGTTGGTGTATGACTAATACATTTTAAGAATGTTTCATTGCATGGAGTTTTAAATTTTGATAGATCAAAATATACAAATTGATCGATAGATATTTTCTTAACCCCAGTATAAAGAGCAATGTCTGGAGATAAACGCCTCTAACCTTTACTATAATTTATGAGGTTAATAACCGATCTAATTATAGTCATGAGTTGCCTGTCCCCAAATAAAATCTTAAATCTTATAATATTTTTTATTAGAACGCATATACATGTCTAATACATGTACAAGTACATATGTATATGTTTACTCTGAGATTATATAAATTAAATAAACTGAGTTCTAATTGTCTGTTGCGTGCGATGGTGAACGTTAATAAATCAAAAATCATCAAATCACTTTCGATGCGGTTTTTGTTGTTGTTGTTGTTGTTGTTGTCTTTCTCCACTCCATTTTCTTGGAATCTGAAGATAATTTTTGTGGGTCTTTTTCTAAAATGTGTGCTGAAACTTAACACCAGAAATTATAATTAATTATCTAATCTTTAAATTTTTATTTGATTTTAAGCAGCAAAGTTGCGTGAGAAAACTTCAAATTGAACAAGACAAAGTATGAAAGTTTTCTGGATGGAAGCAATAAATCAGCATCCATAAGAGCTTTAATAAGAAGTATCTTTGCATTAATTATATTAGACATCATGCATAAGAACAAATAAATATGTACAAATATATTCAATAATTTATGCACCTTATGGAACCGAAGCACTTCAAGACATGAATTATGGAAGAACAAAATTTGCTTATTTGATTGTTCAATTTAATGTTTCCTGTACAAGCAAGCACCATTTGCCGATCATCCTGCCTGGTCTGGCCTATAAGTAATGTACTATTCATGCATCTATGATAACACAACGGGCCATTATACGTGCACAAGTTGGCTAATGTGTAAATGACCACCACTACAACCTGATTCGGCCTAAGTAGCTCTTAACATCATTATTATTATAATCCATATGCTTTCTAGAAGTTTAAGGAACTAATAGCAAATTTGAGGTTGATTCAATAAAGGAATCAACTGAGAACTTCAGTGTACAGTGCTGCATATTCGATATTGGCTTTAGTTAATAATTTAATTTGAAATAGTTCTGCTTAGTAGTTTGCCTACTTTTCCAGATATGTCTTCTCAATACGCGTCCATGTCTATTTTACACGTCCATGTTTATATTTTATTAATTCTGTTTTAATATTTGTGTAATTTTTTATTATACTGTCGGTGATAGCCATGTTAGACCATTATATCTGAAGTTTGTTTCCAAACACTTACTTATAAACAATTGTAGTCTTAACATTATTTGTTTAAGTTAAGTTTCATTATAATTTTATCACGACATTGATATAGTTTAGCGAATTAACATCCAGCGGTTTCACTGGTTTGATCATCTGGTTAGAATGGAGGACGATGCTCTGGCTAAAAAGGTGTTTGAAGCAGCACTTGAAGGAAGTAGACGTACAGGAAGTACTTAACACAATTAATGTTCTAAACTGGAGAGTCCGCGCACGCAGCAGAGATGCTTGGAGAGACATACTGCGTTAGGCTAGTACCCAGTAACAGGATGTTATGGCCGTTTAAGTAGACTTATCAATATTTATGTAGTTTCGTATGTGTCATAGGCAATGATTTTTTCATATAACTCACACTAACCTCCTTCGCACCATTACAGAACATTCAAAAGTATAATCGTAAAAACCGTGGTTGTGTGCACATTCGTAAGCAAAACCTACTCAAAACTTCTTTGTGATACAATACAGTGCGGCCAACTTACGGAGCAAAAACTGTGCATTTATTGAATTATGATTCCGGATATTTTAAACACAAAATAAATAGCACTTTATATATTTAAAAAAGCATTTATGAAGGTCTATTGTTACTTTATATGTTTCTCAATGTAATACGAGTACAAAAAAAATTAAACATGACAATTGTTACTCCCATGGACTTTACTTAGCCTACGTAAGATCTTCTTTGGTCCTTTCAACAAGTTTCTCGTAAATACCTTTTTAGTGCTCTGCGGCATAAAAATTGTTAATTAAATGTTTTTTTTTTTATTTTAATTACAAAAAATAAACAGAAATGTGCTGTCAAGTGTTTGTATTTATATTGTAAATTTCCACAACGCGTTGCTTGAACCCCTTCCTATTTTCCTCGGCCGTATTTAGCTAATTGATGTATCCATGCATATCACTTCATCAGCTCATTTTGTGAGTTACATGAAGGCAGAGCAAATATTATGACTCTTCGTAACTTTTTCATTTTTTCACTTTTTCACTTTTTCAGTTTTTCATCGAAACAGATGAAAAAGTGCGCCGGCTTATTAACTTGTTTCTCTGTTTCTCGATTGCGGCAGTCGTAATACTCTAGGGTCCCAGTCTACGGCCGCGTCTACTTGCGCCTGGCTAATGACTGCGGCGGCTGGCACATTGCACCAGCATGATTTGGCAAAATGAAATTCGTTGTGGGCACTTTTAGTTATTTCTTGTATGTTTTACAATAAAGCAACGAATTCATAACAAAGTGGGCGTGTCATGCCTTTATCTTGTGTTGAGATCGACTTACATTTTAAACAATAAATAAGCACACATTAAGCGCATTTAAATATAAAAAATATACGAGTAAATTATCGAAAACTCTTGAGTCATCTTTTGTGTCAAATGAGACGTCAACTGAAAAATGTGTTGTGTTTTATTTCATTTTTCTTTTTTTCTAAGAATATAAAATTTTCAAAACTACTAAATAAATGCCTACAAAAATAAAATATACAAAAAATATCCAAAAAAAAAAAAAATAGGAAAATAATTTAACTAATTTCACCAATTTTGCAAATTTTGCAAATTTATTATGTGGCCACCTCGCCGGTTGGCTTAAGTTGGCAAATGTGCATGTTTGCTTGTGGGTTGCACATTTCTGCACTCATAAACACTTCATGAAAACGTATCTGAATCCTTCACTCGATTTTCAACTGCAATTTCCTTCGCTTTTTATTTTCCTTTTTCATTTTATGTTCCTTTTTTTCAAAATTAATTTGCAAAGCCATTGAAATGTTGAAATTTGCAGCAATTTTGTTGCATTTTGGTGAAAACAAGCGAAGCCTACATCACACTTCAACACAATCAAGCGTTTTCATCGTTTAACTTTAAGCACATTTCATTACACTGCACTATATGAGCGAGTGTATGTGTGTGTGTGTGTGTTGGTGTGAGTGTAGGTATGCTCAAATATATGCTTGGGAATATTGAAAGTTTGCATGATAAGCTTTGCATGCATTATGCACTTAAGCTCACACACACACACACACACACACACACGCAGACTTACTGCTACTCACACGTTTTCGATTTTCTACACACATTTGCATGGCCGATATGTGTAGACATCGTATTATATACAAGCGCAATTAAATATCCCTCTTACAAGTTTAACTACAAGCACAACAACTACAATAACATTGGCCCGAGTGTGGCAGAAACGGCAGCAACAACACAGCAACAACACAGCTACACAGCAACAACAACAAATTGCCAAAGTATAAATTAAAAAGTACAACATGTCGGATGTACGCGCAATTTAAAGCTTATCGATGCAATTTAAATTTTATATGCATTGCAAAGGATAAGGGATTCGTTCATTATGTTTTAAGGATATTAATGCCATATAAAGAATATTTATACATACTCAATTTAATAGCCACATTTGCCGTCGAGTCTCGCAGGTTGCGGTGGAAATGCAGAAATTAATTTTTCAAGAATTCCGAATACTTTAAGGACATGGAAAATGTACAAAATATTTAAGTTAAATTTGATTTAAAAGGACTTATGGCTAAAAGAACATTATTATTCTGATTATTGTTAGGAGATATGGCACTGCGACCGTCGAGTCTATTGTGCCCCCTTCTGGATTTGGAGTAGGTCTCTAAGCCCTGTTGTACCAATAAATAGTTGTATAGAACCTATTCTACAGAGTTTTAACATATTACCTCTTCCGTGAGGGTATACATTCCTAGGAGTCTATTCTATTCTAACAGCACATATATGGCCGACTACTCATTCTTTTCACAGAATCTACAGTTTGCATCCGTAAGTAGTTCACAGTACCCTGTTTCGATTCCTGCGATGATTTTAAGTTCTTGTTTTATAAAAGAACATTACTCTATCCAAACAAAAAATTGCGCTAATATTTCATGAAAAATCTTATAATTTTTTGTTACATATCGAAAAATTAATATTAATTATTTTATTTATAGTATGTTCTGTTATGTATTATTATTTATGTTTTAACTATCTTCTTCTAACTTACTTACTTAAATGGTCATAAGAACATACCGACTATCTTCTTCTAACTTACTTACTTAAATGGTCATAAGAACATACCGACACTTGGTATGTCGGTCTGACATGATTCACGTCTTTCCAGGTGGCTCTGCTGTTTGCGTACCTTCTCCAGTCTCCAGCGTATAGCAGGTGCGATTAGTGCTTTCTCAATTTGAGCACACCATCGGAGACACGGTCTACCTCTACGCCTCCTCTTCCAACTACTGATTCAAATACTTTTTTTGCTAGAGCATCGTCCTCCATTCTAGCGACATGATCAAGCCAGCGAAGCCGCTGGATCGTAATTCGCTAAATTATATTAATGTCGTGAAACTCGTACACTCTTCACATCATGAGTCAAATAAATTCATTTTGAATGTTATATCGCTTAATTAATAAAGATCGCGTTCGCAGTTTATAAGGTTACAAACGGTTTTACAAACCAATGCATAAATTTCATATTAGATGTGTGAAGGGTGTCGAAAATTTTCTCATCTAAATATCAAAATTGATCGTAGTTGGCTTAGATAAAACAAAATTTTTTGTTACAATCATTTTATTTTCAAATTTGAATTGAAAAGTTTGTATTCAGATATAGAATAAAAACTATATTACCTTATTAACAAAGCCTCTAATTCTCCGTAATATCTACAAACTAGCAACATGAGTTTTACTTTATATGATGAACCACATACCGATGAGGCACAAAAGGTTGATACTGATTCTTTAGAAGCTGTGAAGCGCCCATTGGTGCAAGTTCTGGAACCCAAATATTGCGTAAGAAGACCAAATACTAGGCCGGTTGAGTATTCCATAACTCCAATAATGTCCTACATTGATTGCGAGTCAGATAGGTTATCGTTAAAAAAAAATCCAACTCTGAATGAAAAATGGATTGAATATATAAGAGCACAACCAATAAGTAATCGGGTATTTGCCCCAAAAAAGGAATGTGCTGAGGCGTCAAAGTAAGTACTATCATCTCCTCAAATATTTTTAGTATTGCAATTAATTTCTTAACAAAATTAGCAGACCAAAGCCTCGCAAGTTTTCGATGAATGGTAAGTCCTTCTATGACAATGAAAATAGGCCATGCCCTGTTCCTGCAGTCCGTCGTGACTTTGGTACACCACGCGTCTTGCCAAAAAGCCGTAATAAACCATAAATAAACCATGGGTATACAAGTATTTACATATTTTGATACAAAACCACTCATCCTAAGTCACACATTATATTTTGTTAGAAACTTTGTATTTGTATAATTCAATAATCAATAAAATGTTTTCAAAAATAAAATAGTTGGTAACATTGTAAATTTATTGCAGTCATTTTTGTATACATAATATATACAACGGCATAGAATTTAGCTCCCCAATCTTGGTCAATACAGATGCCGAATGCCGCTAATCACTCCTGTCAGGGAGTCTACAGTAACATTGTAACGGGCCATTACTTCTAGAGCAATGTCTATTTTTCAAGATTTTCGAAGTAGAGAACAATTATGTAGGTCTCGGCTGTTCACTCCATAAGTAAGTTGCAGAAGTAATAAAAAAGTATAACAAATCCTGTTGTTCTTATCGAGTTAGTTAAGAATATAGTTGTATGGCTATATTCGGATAAATTCGGATCTTGCTCAAAGTATTAAAGTATTCAGAGTATTCATAAGTATTCAGATCATAAACTTTTCAGCTTATCTGTTATCTTCAGTGTGAGGTCTATAGAGTTTCATATAGTTCAAACAGTAAAAGTTTTAGCGTGACATATTTATTCTCAGTTCTCAAAGAAAATCTAACTCTCCGCTTATTACCGTCAGAGTCCTTCGACTTTAATTGTGTCCTAAAATGGTATGAACTCCTGTACTGTATGCAAAATTACGATTAAAAATGAAACCAAAATATATCAACTACAGCGAAAATAAATATGGATTCTGATACTCAGATAGGGGCAAAGAGAGTGTGAAGCAATTACTTAAATAGTATAAATTATGCCGATAAGAGTCAGCGCAGATTTCTTTTTTAAAAAATTTTGTTTTTGTAATTTGCAATAATTTTTCAGATAAATGTCCCCAGATAATATGTAACTCAAAAAAGCAAATGAAATGTTAAGTTCTTTTGTGAAAGCACTGTTCCAGGGCCTCAACTAATTCTTATCCTTGGCTGGCTTGTGTGAAACAAGAAACACGTTCCTAATGAAATCAAACGAAAATGCCCAGGACATTTCCCTCACCTGTGCGTTTAAATTAATGCCCGGCATCGTTACCTACTATGTGTGAATGTATAAATTTGCTACTTTACTCGTGCTTCCATCACACTTCACCGCTCTAAATTATCCAGCAAAAAATGAAAAAAAATAAAAAAAATAAAACGAGATGAAGAAAAATATGTGAAAGGTACCAAAGAGACGAAAAACTTCGTAGATCGGTCACTTCCGATAAGGACAATTTTTCTGTTAGAAATTAGGCATTTAGTTACGAGATAATTGAGTACAAGCACAAATAATGTAAACGCTTGGAAAATTGGAATTACGACAAGGATACCCGTGACTGTCCTTGATAAGTTAATGTACCCAAATGAGGACTGCTTAATGTGATAGAATTAATTTTTTTTTATGTTCTTTTTTCGAAAAAGGAGCGCATAATTAAGGCATAATAAAATCATTAATCATATTAAAAAAATAATTTTTGACATTAATTTGAATAAGGCTCATGTCCTTATTACTTTTGACACAGTGAATTGTTAATGTACTCAACTATGGAAATGTTGAATAATTATTAAAATCGCAAATATACTAATAATAATAAATTTAGTAATAAAATTATTATTAATATTAATAAAAATGATAAATAAGAAATAGAGGTTTTGAAAAGAACACAGAACTACAGTCGGAAGAGATCTTTTGTAATGCAATCAAATGCGCAATCAAAAAGCAAACATTCTATCTGATTAATGAAGGTGAATATGTTCTTCGTCAAGAAGTTTCTGTTTATTAATGAAGAAAAGAATTATTATTTCAGTATCATTTTTCCAGATTACAGATTAGTTTACAGTGCCCTGTTGGGATTCCTGTAACGATTCTAAGTTTTTCTTTTGATAAGTTCATACAATCCGGTGTCTCTTATTGTTAAAAGTACCAATAAGTTATTTGGATTGTGTTAATCCTGCTATATTAACTCAGTAATTATTTTTATTCTGGTTCTCCTTTATTTTTAAGAGAGAATGGAGCGTACTATATCCTTAAAAAATTCGAAGATATTCACAATCGAAAGATTAATGTCATTTCATTAGGTCTACAATTTCTATACTTTCATCACATTTCGCTTTTATTGTTAAGGTAAAAACAAAATATAAATAAACAAAGTCTACAGCACCGGCACCACATAAAAACGACGCCCACTCAACAGGGCCAACGCCTACATGTATGCAACGAAATAGCGTAAAACTGCTACAATTAATGGAATTATAGCTTGTGTGTGAAATGCACTTCCGGTAGCACAGTTTGCACCATTTCCGTTTAAAAAGTATGCAAATAAAAGTCAAAACATACGAGGCGATTCTTTAATAAGAAACGCACGAGGAATACAGAAAAATTCGGCGATTCGTGCTGAACCTCAATACAGATTTTTATATTAGATGAGGCAAAACTTTCAATGAAAATGTGAAGAAAAAACGAACAATTATTTAAAATAAAAATTAAATTCTCATAAAAAATTACAATTAATATACAATAATCAAATTTTATTTAAGTCAAATCCCACATGCTCTGTATGTTATGGGTTCACTTCGTTGCAAGTCGATACATCCTTATCCTTACATGCGTACCCGTATAACTTACAATTATGAGTTTATAATTAATTTCACGTAACTTAGCTGGCGATTGAACCCCACTCCTCCCCCACTCGTTAATAAGGACACAAATTTCATATCCTGTAATAATTAAAATGAAAACAATTAAGTGGGAATCTGAAAATATGTCATTTTCTCATCGCAGTCCTTTTAAATATTCAAAAATGACGTACTCAAATATTGAAAGCTGCTCAATATTTCAGTTAATGAAGACATTTTAGAAAAATGTCATTCTAAACGATTTTTAATTATAGCCTAAAATTTTATGAAATATAAATTATGAAGTAGTACTTTTCGAGTATGTGCAGCTTTTCACAGGGACACTTCGATTAGAGCCCGGCCAGAAATTAAGTAATAACGCTTGGAAAATGTAAGGCAACGTACGACCTCGTCAGAGGGTGGTAATCATAGATGACTGTCTTCAATTGAGGAGTTCACAGACCAATATTATTAATAAAGTAATTTTTACATAAGAAACGTAAATATTAATTAAATTTAATTAAATAATATTGAAGTTAAAAGAAAGCGATTGTCGGCGCTAGTATTGGAGGGTTATACCTTACAATGGACATGAATATCTTATGAAGTGTTTTGATTAAGTGAGTATGTGATTTTCAAGGCAGAGTACGATTTCTGGGTTGCAGCGATTTGACAACAAATTTTATTGTATTTTAATGTTATAAGTAACTTTTTGAACTACCGTTTTCGATTTATACTCGATATACATAGTCCAGTTCTATATGTTAGATATCGATATCGATCACTAAATTGTTCCTATAATACACAAACTATTTTGTCAATGTTCTCGAATACATGTTAAATAACTAATAAAGTGCCACGTCATCACATTGTTAAATCTACAGCATTCGGTCAAGTTCTTAGGCTCAGCAGTACAAGTACTTCCCGAACTACTTGACTATATGAATGTGTGTGGAGCTTTGAGTCTCTGTATATATCACAATCTCTCCTTAAAGGTGTTACGTAGATTCGTGTGTAACTATAGTTCTACATACGAGCATAAACTGCAGTGTTGAGGTAGAATACTTGTCTGAATGTAATCTCCGTTGAATGTGCCCATTTAGATTTGGATGATCGGTATAAATTTAAAGAGATTCATCGCTACCGTAGGGTCCGGAAAGTTAATATGATATATTGACACCATATTAATTATAAGTAGTGATTACTATGTGTTAAACTGATAGATAAATTTCATTAGGTTTTTGTTGAGTTTCTGAATGTTAAATAAATATTATTAATTTGTATATACATGTACTTGTATAAATACATATAGTTAAACTGTTATAAACACTAGTATCCATTATTTAAATTAAAACAATTATAATAAAAAACATGTTAGAATATAAAAAATTTAATTTCGTGATGACTTTATAAATGGTCATCATATCAGAAAATGCTAATGACACTTCGATAAAATTATTCCATGTTCTTCTTACAATATATTTTCCTCATTTATTTATTGCTTTCTATTGAAACGTTGAAGCAATCAATAAAACTTCATGAATTTAATTACATTTCAATAATTTCCTTCTACCTTTAATTATATTTCCATTGAAATGAAGACATTTATCACCGAAATGGTTGATGAGGCATGAGGTACTACAGTGGCGAATTTTTGTAATAAGGGAAATGGTATTGCAGACGGGTTTAATTAGATAATGGAAACACTGTTTGGGAATTATATTGTATTTGTAAAGATTTTACTAAAAAATTAATAAATAATTTTAAAAAATTATATGAACTATATTCTATATTATAGAAGTTGCGTCTAATAAGTTAAAACACTAATCCCTTCTGGGAATGAAGAGTTCTGTACTGTCAGTGCAGTGGTTAGTCAGTGCACACTTACCCAAATGGTTGAAACCCAAGAAAGGCATTTTGGATCGATATATACTGAAACTCTTTGAAGAGATGAACTCGGTTCAGATCACCGAATATAACAATTAATGGGTCTTATGATTAGCAAATGGCTGTTATAGTAAATGAAGAGAAAACAAAGTACTTTCTGTCAACAAACAAATTTCTATAAGTTCGAATAAAATGAAAGACTTTATTTTTTTGAGAACCAGTGTAAATACCAATAATGATGAAAGCCTTCAGTAATTCATCAAATAATCACTCTTGTCAACAGACGTTACTTCAAACTAAATAGTCAATTAAGAAATAAAGTCCACTCTCGACAATTAATAATTATGTTCTTCAAAAATTTTATTATGTCTATCCTACTGTATGGTGCAGAAAATTGGCCAATTACCAACAGTGATAAGAAGATGTTAGGAGCACAAGTATCGACTTCGATGGAATAATGGCAAGCTATACCACATAGTTACATATTATTGAAGGCTAGAAGGGGATTAGATTCGCTTTCCGCATATTCTGTAGAAGATCCTATTGACTAATAATATGAAGGCACTTGGTACTGTAAACCGTTGACAGCAAACCACTGCTCGGTTTGGATGGCAAAAGTTTTTGTACGGGGCCAAGAACGACTCACATCCGTAATGATCAACGAACAAAGTACTATATATGTATATATAATTAGTGCAAATAATACCATTGTAGTAGCAAGGACTTATATCTATATTCTGCCTATTTAGCTTCAGTTGTCTATTTTGTACATAAGTTTACTATTTACATACCATATTGGTACAAGCAACTTCAGAAGTCCTCCGATTTTAGGTTTCCGATTTAGGTTTCTTCTCTGTGCTCATTGGCATTATTATCAGACTTTGTATATTTATGATGCTACCAGCTTATTAATACTACATAGTTTTCATATGTTTTCTTTTTAAAATCTCTGTCTCTCAAATCTCTCAAACCAATATAATTAGATAAAATACTATGAGAATATCAATTTAAGTTGATTTTGTTATTTGGTTTAAAATTTGCCATGTGAATAACGTATAATTCATTCCCTAAATCAATTGTCATGAGTTGCTTTCAAGTTTTGTGAAATGCCATGCGCCCTACATCTGTCTCTTACATTCAATATAAATCCACTACTGTTAGGAACACATGTTAAAGGTTAATGAGCAAGTTCGAACAACCCTTCTCCATGCTTAACCCTTTTTAGCCCAGCCGTTGAGTAGCGCATTACGAGTCGTGTTCTCATAATCATCATTACAGCCATCAATGTACTAAAGTGGAAACACATCAATTAATTAAAATGCAATTGAAACAAAAGAATTCAGCATTGAAAGCAGCATTGAAAGCGGCGGCAACATTTCATTGCGGAAAATTAAACAGAAAAACTTTTCACGGTTAAATTGCGAGCAGCGAACTGCAGCACTGAACGCGCGAGTGCGCATCACGTGAGTGAATCGAAGAAAAAATATTTATGCCCGCTTTTCTGTAAAATTTATTGTTTTATTGTTTTATTAACGAAAAAATGGTAATAACAATTAGAAATGGAAATGGGAAAAAGCCGATTCGAACCCCACCGAACCCAACCGAATGGCTGGCAACTGCAGATATCTGGAAAATATGCTTCAATAGTTTTTATTATTTATTAATTAAGCGCACCGTTAGCACACATCGCTAACCCCTTCTTTACCCATAGGCAACTTATTAAAAAATATTGTCCCTGCCTTTAACAACCGACCGACCAGCACTTTCGGTGCAAAGTAGTAAAAAGTAGTAAGAATTTCCACGGGAACAGTTGATAAATAAACTCTCAGATTTTCTGTTGTTTAATTTATTTTTATAATTATATTTATTCTTTTCTTTCCTCTTTTTTGATATATTGAACAATTTTTTGTTAAGATTTTTTTTATATTAATAAGAAGAAAATATCGCATTTATAATGTTCCATATCCAATTAGAATTTTGAATTTTTCTCCGTTCATATAATTAATAATAATAAATACATTCATGCATGTATACATGTATACATATTTATATTTGCATATTCAGTTATGTATATACACATTGTTGCACTTAGTTGCGCTAATGTGTTTCTCTTGTCTTTCTCTTGCTTCCGCATGCTCATGCAACTTTTGAGTCTAAACAAAAAGAAAAATGTATAAGAAAAAAATCAAAAAATCAATTAACTTATTTTTTTTATTTTATTAAAAATTTTCAAAATTTTTGCATTATAGGAACAAATTATTAAACTATTTAGATAATGAATAAATTAAAAAATAATATATTGTTTACATCTATTAATCATTAAAAATAAAAATTCAGTTGCACACAACTCACGCACTATAATTTACATTATTAATTTTTCATATTTAATTTTTCTTTTTTTTTTTATAAATATTTAATACTGCACTTCTATATTAAATTTGTTTAATAGTTCGGAAAGTAATCAAAATTTAGAATGTACCGAACACAGAATAAATATGCTTAATTAATATGATTTATTATTATATTAATATAACACAATTTTTTAAGTAGATACATCACTTGTAAACATTTATAATGTTTATATACACGTCGCATCGCCGCATCGCCACTTAGCAACAAATAACAAGTCGCATAAAAATTAATAACAAAAAACAGCTAAAAATCATTTGATAAATTTTGATAAATAAATTGCACATAAGTTTTCAAAAATTTTCGCTTGTTAATGTTGCTGGATTTCATTTTAATTGGGCGGGGTTCTCGCCATGGGCGGATGTTGATGTTGCGGCACTTGATATGGGCTGAAACGTTGGAAATGTTTGGCGCGCATATCGGGCGAGGGTGAACCGGAAGAGGATGGTGTTGTTGCTGCTGGTGGTTGCAATGGGCTAGAAACAATCGTCATCTGTGGCGGTGGTGGAGTGCGAGAAGCCGAAACAGCAGCAGCTGCGGCGGCAGCGGCCGCTGCTTGTGCTGCAGCGGCTTGCTGATTAGCGGCGTTCGCCAAGAAACCTGCTGTCAGTTGTGGCCACTGTTGTTGCCACATGCCTATGTTGAAGGCGTTCAAAGTTGGTGGACGCTGGTAGAGCTGTGGCAGCAACATTTCCGTATATGGTGAGCGGCCAAACATTTGTAAATGTTGCCTAGCTTTTTCCAGAAATGCCAAAGATGCTGCATCGGCATCTTGTGGTGATAATTGTTGCATTAGGGGATCAGGAAAGAAACGTAGTGGAGAACGTAAGTGTTGCTCGAGCAAGAATGAATCCATGGGATCCCTGTAAAAGAAGTAAATAGTTAAGTTTTTAATAAAAATCGAGAATAAGAATTTTGGAATTCTTAAAAATGATTTAAAATATTTCAGCAAAATAAAATTCTTGAATATAAGGGAATCGGTCAAGAATAAGTCACGTTTGTAATGGACAAGTAAGTAAATAAATAATATGTGCAACGCGAGACACGTGCCTGGCACTGGTACAACAATAAAAAAGTACCGTATATCACTAAATAACATTTAGTGAAGTTTATACAAGACTGCAGTTTATGAAAATCAGACTAAGGTCAATATATACTCTATACCACTGAAGGGATCTTAGTACATCTCTACATAGAACTGCAAGTTACCACACCATTATAATACTAGTAATAATAGTAATAATTATATATAATAGATGATCATCTGTGTCGAAAATGTGGTTCAGTCCCAAAAACAATGGATTACATTATCTCAAGGTGTTTTATAATGGCACCAAAGCAATACCTTAACAAGCACAATGCTGTATGTAAGGTAATTCCCCAAAATTTTACTTACAAGTATGGGTTAATCACTAAAACTTGCATGATTTAGCAGTACACACCAAATGTGGTGCCACACCAGGAAGTACACAGCAGGGAGTGCCAATTTTCATATTTACTGGGATCGACAAGTTTATGCAGGTCGACCAAAGCACTCAACAAGCCTGATAGTCTAATTTTGGAAAGGAGAAATCATTAGGCATAATTGCTTGATGTTGCAATTCCGCAAAATAATTATATTGAAATATATAACATGCGGATTAGATCAGCAACTACATACAACTGGTTCGAAAAATCAAAGATATTTCCAGACTTAAGCGTATGATTGTTGTACCAGTTATACTATAAGCAAATGGATTAGTACCCACCCAAACCCTTACACAATCAATGCGCATACTTGAACTTTCTGAACAATTATTAACCAACATGAAATATACGTTTTGTGGCACACATTTGCATTGGTGAGGGTTAATCGACAAATTCTTAAGTATAGTCACCAGCTTCTCGTATTCTATCAGTATTTCGTCTTGCTCTCATTCTTGTAGCAAACCCCATTTTTGCAGTTTCTTTTTCGATAACAGCAAAGATAACTAGATGACATAGATATGTAGATGACATCGGCGTAAGAAATGGAGTAAACTGGATATATTTGTAGAACATTGTACCATTACTTTGAACACCTGCCCTACGCATGATTACTTCCACAACAAAATTGAAGAGTTCACATGGTAAAGGATCACCTTATCTGAAGCGTCACACGGTATCAAAAGGTTCAGAGAGACTAGATCCGTGGCAACATTATGGGTACTGCTCAACGTTATTCTACAGCGTCATTGCATTAACTTTGCAGGGATGCCGAACTCAACCATTGCGGTGAGTTCATTACATTTCATATATTTTAATATTTTGATAAACGCTTATTTAAAAAGTTCCTAAACTTAAGTTGAGAAGCTTAACTCAACAACGCAACATGCTGCTAAGCATTGATATGTTGATATGTGTTAATAAACATACTTCAATAAGCATTTTCTTCTTGGTTTTGGTTTTGGTTTTTGTTTCTTGTTTTATATTTTATGTTTTATGTTTAACATATTTATTTATTTTTCTTGTTTTGTTAACTTTTGAATTTTCTGCACATTTTTTTTTTGCATTTAGTTTATGATTTCGTTGACTTCACATCGATATTATAATTACATCAACTACTTGCTGCCAATTGTGTGCTGTGCTATGCTGTACAGCAACAGCAGCAGCGGCAATGCACACAGCACAAAAACAACAAAAGAAAAACATCATCAACATCAACATCAACATCAACAGAAACGGCAACAGAAACGGCAACAAGAACAAGAACAACAATTATAGCAAATATACCCAGTAACAACATCAACAACAACATTAACTCAATTTTTTCGTGTTTTCATGTACGATTGTGGTGCTTCAAAGTTAAATGCGCCGACCTATAATTTACTCAATTTAAATAGCCGCCGCCGTTGTCGGTCGTCGCGGCTGCGTGCGTTTAATAACATTCATATGCACATCAAGCAATGCTTACTTGTTCTTTGCTTCTTTTTTATTTGTTATTTTTGCCATTGCTTTTGCCGCCGCAGCAACGGCAGAGAGGCCGCAGCACTGCTGCAGCAGCAACAGCAGCAACAACAGCAGCAGCAGCAGCAGTTCTCATACATGCCAATAAAGGGTTCAGAATCCTTGTTTTAATGTTATTTAAATGTTAATGCTTATATTATTGTTGTTGTTGGTGGTGCCGCTGTTATTATTCCATATGAAATTGACTCCTGGCATTTAAGCCAGCATTTTTATTTTTTTTCGCTTATCGTTTTTTTCTTTCTTTTTATTTTAGTCTTTGTTATTGTTTTTGTATATTTTGGCACCTGCACTGTTGGCATTTTTTTTGGCTTGTTGCCTGTTTGTCTGGGATATTATTTCATTTATTGTTGATGTTCATGTTGTTGTTGTTGTTGGTGTTGTTATTATTATTATAGCAATAAAGTCTGTTAAGTTTGAAAGGCTGTGGTAATAGTGCGTGTTTAAAATTTTTTATTATTTCTCAATTTTTGCACAAAAATGTTTTATTAAAATTTTTCTTGCTGATTTTGTGGCATGCGATTTTTTAACACTTTTTACGTGCGGCGGCATTGAATTGACGACGATAATTGTTACTTGATTTTTGTTGCACTTATTTTTTTCTTCTTTTTCTTCTTCTTTTCTTTGGCTTCGTCTTTGCTTCGTTTTTTCTCGCCTCCGTTGCTCCTTCGTCATCCATACTCTGTACTCTTTATCATTATGCATTGCAATTTAAATCATTTCATACACATTGTCGATTAGTTATTACGACGCTTTTGGTTGCGGTGGCTGCGGTGGCTGCGGTGGATGCGGTGGTTGCAGTGGTTGCAGTGATTAAGGCTTTCGGGTATATAAATTTTCTTTTGACAAGTGCCGAATGCAATTAATCACTATTTTCAGCAGAAAATGGAAATGAAAAAGCAAAAGGAAAGTTGCACAGTGGCACGACGGTAAGTAGGCTCCTTCGCTAAATTGATCATAATAATTATGCATAATATTATACAATTATGGAGGCTCTAAAGAAGTTATCATTAACCATTAAATACAAAAGTAATCTCACGTTAACTAACATAATAAAAATGAAGCGAACAAAGAGTGGAAGAAAAGGGAAGAGAGAGCGAGCCATAATAAATAGAAACGGTCATGAGGAAATAGAGAGAAAATTAGTCATAGGTGACAATATAGATGTACTCAGAAATGTTGTACCGCTTACGCTTACAAGTTGGTATTGACACTGTCACATACGTGGAATTCAACCTTGTGGTGAAGTTGAAAAACGTGTGTTATACTTTTCCACCATGATGTGTGCTAGAATTAAGTAAATGAAATAATAGAGTCAGTCATAAATTACACCTAGACTCGCGTCTAGATGTTCACTCGAACAAAAAAGATACTAAGACAAATAATACTTCTTTTCCTATACACGTTCACATATATAACCATATTTAAATGAGTAATGAATTAATTCCCATTGAATTTCTCAAGATTTTCCACATAGACCTGCCCAATCTCTTACTCTCTGTTTTACCAAAATGCATCACTCCTCCAAACAATTCCGTTAGAATTCCATAGAATATACTCCATAACTCCATAACTCCTAAACTTTGGTTTCCTACTCCTAGCTTCAATAAATTTGAGAATTTAAATATTGAGCTTCTTATATGTCACTCCCTGATTACTGGAATACGATTTCAACCCAAAGAAGTCTGTCATAGTCTGATGGTTAAGATCTTTATAGCTCGCTCTTTAGAGAATATTTTAGTGTTTTAAAGTCTCTCACTGTCGCTTTCAATGGTTTTTGTTCACCACAAAAAAAAAATTAATAAAATGAATGAATGAAGAGAAATTTGAATTGTTTACCATTTAATAATATTGATCGTTTAACAACCGTTGAATGCATTTAAACAGTCAAAGCTGTCTACATAAGTTCTTATTTTTCAAAGCGAATTATCTACTTTTCACTCACTAATTAAAATTGTGACATCTGAAACAATGAAGATCCACACATTTCTTTCGTTACGCATATAATTCACAAAAATCACTGTAATTTATGACATTTAGTGTTGACCACGGTGTTCTTAACATACGCATCGTTATATTGCGCCGATGAACGCCTCATTGGAACTCCGATGAACTCCGCAGGTACCAGTTGAAGTTATGTGTTTGAACACAACTTTCTCCTTAATTTAGTGTGACAATGTGTTCATCAGTCGTTTTTGAACAAGTGAACAAGTGAAGGAGTGTCACAATTCTTAAAGCTACAGCCGTATGACTACTAACTAATTTTGGCGAAGAATTGAGGATATGAATGTGAAATATGTGGTTTCAACGAAACTGTAGGTACGTAAAGTCACAAAAATCACAGTGTATTTGGAGAGCCAAAAACTTCCCGGATAAATCATTTCACGTTTCAGAGATGCAAATTGATTAACAAAATCAGTTTGTTACCACTAGACTTTTTTCATGGTAAAATCACGTCAAAATTTATAAAAGTGCTCACACTCTGAACTTTTTCAAAACGAACAATTAACAAAGTTATCGCCGAGTTGTGTCCAACTAGAAATACTCGAATATACCGATAACTCACCGGTGATGACCTCAAAAGAGTTCAGTATTGTAAGATGTCACACACTTCTAATGGTAAGTTTCTGACAATATATCGAAATAAAAATAAAAACCATAAATGTGATTTATAGGCGTTTACTTTGGAAATCACAAAATGGATAACCATGCATTTTTTGTTATTTTTCGAAAGTATAATAATACATTAAGATACTAGAGGAAGCAGGAAGTGAAAGAAAGAGAGTAATATATGAATAAAGTACAAACATGAAAAATCATCTTAGATAAAATTGTATACTACATGATAAGTCAAAGGTAAACGAGATAAATTTAATCTCGATACTACATACGTCAAACCAACTAATGGTCTCATTTAAATAGATCGGGCTTTTTCAAAACTGATATTTGTCAAAAGAGTGAAAGAAATATTGAAATATACATTACACGGCAGGATTGCCATGTAATGTATTAATATTTTATAGAAGACTACAAGATGAGTGGTCAAATGTATGAAGAATTCGTACGATGACACTAGTTCCTTCAGATAATAAGACAGATAATAAGAAGCTGATTCAACTAAAAATAAAACCAGCTACTTCATCCATTTCCATATATAAACAAAAATAAATTGAATTAAATAATTATGGATACTTACCTATCGAAATCAGTCAAACGCGAAGAATCTCGAAATCCTTTGGCGAATGGATTCGAATCAATTTTTAGTTTCGTTATCAGTTGATTTTGATACGCCGTAACTGCCGTGAACACAGTCTCTGGAAAAACGAACGTTTTATGATCCATTTCCTGTAGTTCTTTGGGAGTATTGGGAATATTTTGACCATGGCTTAGACGAACCAAGTGTATACGTGGCTGGTACCGATGCATAGAGTTCAAAACAATCTAAAAATTAATTGGAACGTTTTTTGAGTGAAATTAAACAATAGGAAGAAATTATTTATACAAAAGTTTAGTATTTTTTATTTTTTGATATGTCTTAGATTAAAATTGTTAGCTCAACTAGTTTACTACATTAAAAAGTTTAAAAGATCCTAAGATTCTCAAAAGTTGAAAAACCATATAAAATATTTGAATTGCTAGCACTTTTGCAGCAGAGGAAGAAGTGCCTTTCCAGCACTTGTTTGAATTTAAGCCAAAATTCAATGGCATAACTTCCGATGGATGGAGAATTCCTGAACCCATGTCGTTGCTTACAGCACTGAGTCATTTACAATAAGAATATTGCAAAAAGAGAAATTGCAAATAAAATTCTCAGAATATGAAATGAAAAAATTTTGGTATAGAAAAATTGAAAACGGAAGTGAAAGATATTTTCACATGCAACTCACACATCCTAGTAGATGGGGAGCCGCGGTACATATGGATTTCATTGGATTACAGAGGTTAGGACTGAGGCGCATTGTATATCACATTTTCAGCTGTCTTAACAATTTTCGTACTCATTGAATAATTGATAAGGCATTCACTGCTTTTAAATACAAGGCTCAGTAATTTGCATACTCAATTCCGAGAACAACAGAAGTCGTTCACATAAAATTCCATTAAATATTAAAACTTCTAAAGTTGAAATTTTGTTGATTGTTTTGGCATTTCGCATTCACGTCAAGTACAAAAATCTTTTAGGAAATTAAAAATATCATTAAAAATTTATAAATCATAACATGGTGGAAATATTTTTATTTGACTGTATATAAGCTTATATACCAACATTATTATTAACACTAACTACGAGAAAGTTTAATAAAATTTTAAGTGCCACTCACCTGTCCATTCTTGTCCATTTCATTGTTAGTCAACTTGACTTTTTCAAAAGAAACCACTTGTTTCCGTAGTGCCTCCGAACTTATGGGACTGTCAGGATGTGCATATAGACGTGCTGGTGGTGGAGGATCAGCCTTACCAGCCACTAACCATGATGACCGATGGTAAGCATAACGATACCGACGTGAGTCCATTGGCACAATATCCAGCAGCACGGCATAACGATCGGGAGGCTGTATTTGTCGCAAAGGCCCCGAAAAGCTAACACGCACTGTAGGAAACATCCGCCTAAGAAAAATTAGTCACTTATAATGATACTAAAAATTCTATACTTAATTGGGAGTTATTATGAATATATGTTTATTATGTTATTCTACAATTTTTCTGGAAAATATTTTCCTTCAAATATATTTATGAAGTCTTTTTATCACAGAAATGTTCCCCACACTTTGCACTTTGACACATGCTTAATAGCACTGAAATGTAACTAATTTTTCATTTTATTACCAGCAAATATACATGTAAATTATTATAATGACCCAACCTAAAGCACTGTGGCACGGCAACACCAACAAACAAAACACAACAACAATAATAAAAAAATTTTTTTTTTTTTGGATTAATAATTATCACAAAGGAAAGCGTGCATAAATCTTTTCTGTTGCACGCCAATGATGTTTCAACATCAACATAACATAATAATAATTTGTATTATACAAAAGCTAACACCACCAGCACCAACACCACCAGCACCACCACACCACCCAGTCACTACCACGATTGCCACCCCCATTACCATTATCAACAATGACAAACACACACCAATTACACAAACTAATTACAAGCACACGCATTACAACAAAGCAGCACATACAATTACACAAACCTATGTTCAAAATTGTGTCTTCCAAAAAAAAAACAACAAAAAATACACAAAATGAAATCATAATAAATTTTGACATTCTTCCTAACCACCATTTTGAGTTTAATTTTTTCCGACACCCTTCAGGGGGTCCTTTTATTTGGGCACTAAGCTTAAAGCAAACCATTTACACTTTCTTTGTGTAAACGCGCTTACCACTGTGCTGAACGTTTAGATTTGTGTGTCACTGTGATGTCCAGAAAGCAGCTACGTCAAGTGAGAGTTGTGATTTTATTTCATTATACGTCGCACTCGCACTTTAAAAATAAATTTATTAACCAAACTTTAATTTTGACTACAGGAGCACACGATCTATATCTCTCATAGGTAGTAGAAAATTCCAGTAATTGAAATAATTATAAACATATTATTCAATATTCGCATTATAAACACTTTCAATATGAAATGAAGACACATCTTCAGCACAACAAGTGTCTGAATAACTCTGACTATAAAAGTAAAATGATGTAGTATCTTATGATAATACGATGGTCATTATGTCATAATTAAGATTAGAGTAAGACAAGGTTCAGGGCATTCATTGGAGTAGAACACTATGATACCGGTTAAGATTTTGTTCTAACAGCCGATCTTTTTTAAACAGAAAACACGTAGCCCCTCGGAGGAAGTTCAAACTCAAACTCGTTGAGAATTTTCTAAAATAAGATATGCAGAAGACACCACACTCCAGTACTATTCCATTGGCACTGAACAAAAATTAAGCAGTCACAGAAAATGTCATCATTTGCTTTAATGCCGATGCGACCTTTTCTTTTTAGACAATGTTTTCTTGTTTAGATGATGACGCAGGTTATGGTAACCTTCCAGACAACCTAATGGCATCCTCAACTCTAGTGAGTCTCTAGTCAGTAATGAGAAAACAACTCTCTAGTCTGTCGGTTGGTCTAAGTACAGAGTGAGTTGCAACTTTGAATAATAAACTGAATGTAGAGCAAAGATTTGCGTCTTATGTGTGCTCTAACTGAGCAATTTAAGTCAGCCACGTTGAAAGAATTCAAGTTACATGTAGCTCCATTAATGTTTGGCTTAAAGCACCTATGCCACTGTTTCTGCTATTTTGACATATCAGTTTTTTCTTTCTAATATACGTTACCAGGAGACACGGCACAAGTTTGTGTAAAAAATGGCTTATTACATTTAATATGATCAAGTAACTACAATAAAAAGAATAAGAGTATCCACTACTTTGCAGGAAATTGTTTAACCTTATATAATTAAGTCGGTATACGGAATAAGTGTACTCATAACTTCTCGCTATATCTTTCAATTTAATGTAGTTAATTTTTAGAATTACTTGACATAACCTTAGGTCTGAGTGTCGATCTTACCAAAGTCCACTTAACAACAAAATTAGCCCATTGTGATATAGAAAACGTGACTTTAGTTCACCGAGAAATTGTGCGATATGAAATTTACTATCTGAAGTAAATCTGAAGTAAATCAAGTAAATTTAAATATTCAGACACTGTTTTCACTACGATATATGCCGACATAATACATAAACTGTTCGATTTGAGATATTCAGTTTACTACGATGGTGTGTTACGTTTATTAAAAGAACCAAAATTAATTATCAAAAAATCGTTTAGTTTGAGATGACTGGATACTAGGAGATTTGAATTAGGTTAGATTAGAGTGACAGCCCACTGATCACAAATAATGGTCCGTTGAATTACCACAAAAGTGTAGCCTTAGTTAATGTGTGGTAATCCTTAGTAAGAGAAGAATACCTAGTTTTCGAGAAAATGTTCAATTTAGCATAGTTAAGTCACATGGAATATTTGGTCCAAACTCAAAGATTTGCTAAGTCGTTTAATCGTTAGCGATTTTGTTTACAAGAAGTATATGGTGCAGTCAACAATAGACCGGACAAGGTATGATTCATATTTTCAACTAGGAAAACTAGTTAAGAAGGTAGAAGAGAGCTAGAGAGCTTTAATTGTATAATATGATTATACAGTGTATTAAATCTTCATTAGGATTGGTCACACTTTAAATGAATTATTTTTAAGGAATTTATACACAAAAAATATAATGTTTGAGAAATTATTTTTATTGCATATAATATTATTTATGTTGTATTTTGAATACTTTGTAAAAACTACTATAAAAAAATTTCTTAATTTTTTTTATATTCACATTTTTTTCTTTTTTTTTTTGTTGTTTATTATTACTGTTGCTCGTATTTACCTTTTGTTGTAGACCAACGCCTTGAAAAAATATTTGAGTTATCAAATTCTTCAACGCCTTGAAACCATAAAAATTTGTCACAAATTAACATACCATTTTTCCTATAATAAAAATATTCACTAAAATAGTTCATTTCTTCCCCATAATTTTGTCTTTATCTACAATCTAATTAACACTAATCGTCCTTAGTCCACACAAAAAAAAACCCAAAAAAGAAAAATTACGAAAAACGTAAAAGGACGAAGAATTCTTCAACAAAAATATTAATAATTTTCACAACTTAATTAATATTTTATTGTAAAAAATGTATAAGGCAGGACGCAATAAAGCAGCTGAACTAATACGCGCTAAGGACATTTATCATAAAAACAATGACTCGCGCACCACACACCACACACCAACTGGCAGGCGCACACACACACACACACACACACCCAGTCACACAATCACACAGTCACAGCGGTATTGACTTACAAATTTATTAACGTATTTTTATTTAAATGGCCAAACTAAACGAACCAAGAAAACAAATTAATGCCTTTTAAAAAGAAAAAAAAAACAACAACAAAATTACGCCGACGGAAAAACAAAACGAAAAAATTCGTAAAACGCAACTAAAACTCCAACAACAACAGGCACACACGCAAAAGCAACAACAACACCAATAATAATAATAATAAAAGGAACGGAATGAAATTGATATATAAACGCGGTCAAAGTGCCAAAGGACAAAACGTAACAAGCGAGCATAAATACAAAAGTACACACAATTACACACAATTATGTGTAAAGAATAATAAAAACGCAGAAATTACACAAAAGCGGAATACGCGCTTGAGTTGAGGATAGAGAAATCTTCATGTTTAATCTTCCTATTTAGGTTAGGTTAGGACCATTGAGGTCCATTGCGATTCCAGATAAGAGTCTTATCTCTAGCGATAGTGTGCATCGCTTAGGATTCGCGTGTTATAAGCAAATTTTATTGGAATTTCAACAGAAACTTCAGGTATGTCCGGTAAAATTGACAGCCCCCAAGTGTTTTTGTAGAGTTCTCGAAAGAGCCAGGCATTTACACAGCAGATGCTTCCATCCTCCTATTTAAAATTTGTTAGATTTGTGGATTATTCAAAAGATTCTTTAATTTATAGCTCGTATTGGATAATTTAGCCAAAAAAATTTTCTGCATGCGAGAAACACATCCTCTATATAAAGTAACAAAATAACGAGATTATCATGCATATGAGTCATATGCAATCGCAACTACACTTATCCGATAAAAATCGCCATCATAATTTATATAGGTTCTTCAAAGCTTACTTCTACATAAACATCTGAATTATTATTAATGTATTTACAGTCAAACCTTTTAAGTTTTTTGCCATTAATTTCTAAGGAAGGAATCTAAGGGTCTTCTAAGTCAACAATGTCATTTTTTTTAACACAATTGAAGTTTCTGCTTATTAGCAAAATCGAGATGATATGGAATCTCTAGACTTTTTCAAGTTTCATAAGCACCTAAATGTGGTCTGAGCATGGGCATAATCAATGCGGACCATAAAGTGGTGGGTAGCACCTTTTCCTCTAAAAGTGTATCCTAAGCAAAATTTTATATTAAAAAGATGGTCTATGAGGTGTCGTTGACACCACTTAAAATGTGTCACATCTACGGCGGCTATATGTATTAATTTCCAAAAAGTAGCATGCAACAATTAAACCCAGATTCGGAACCTTAAGACCTCTTTTCTTTTAGTTATCTTTTAGTGCGCTAATAAATAAAAAATTAAATTTACTAATTTATTCATTGATTGTTTATAATGGACAATTTTTTATATTAAATGTTAATATAATAAGAAAAGCAGATTTCCCATCATATGTTTTCTAGCTACTGGCATGGGTCAGAGCAATACCATCACATTAGTAAAGCAAAGAGAATACACCAAGAATTGAATCGTCTTTACAGTGAGAGACCTTTCAAATCATCATTTCTAACAAACAGTTCACTGTTTCTCTGTATATACAAACAAAACACTATAGTTTGGAAAACAACATCGTTGTTGTTGCAAAATCATCAAATTTCTGCAACAAAAACAATATTTACTTGCTCCGATTACAGTTTATTATTCTTCAGAAACTCACTAAAAGAATACCTTGAAAA